GCCCTTGGGGGCCGGGCGGGGGGGCTGCAGGTCGGGCGGGGGGCTGCAGAGGGGGCCCTTGGGGGCCGGGCAGGGGGGCTGCAGGTCGGGCAGGGGGCTGCATTGGGGGCTGGGTAGGGGGGCTGCAGGTCGGGCGGGGGGCTGCAGAGGGGGCCCTTGGGGGCCGGGCTGCACGGGGGGTCACCTTTGCGGATGTTGCCGTCGGGCGCCGGCCCGAACTCGCCGGGCGTCAGCAGGAAGCAGGCGCGGTCACGGCTGTAGCGTTCGTGGGCCGCGGGGGTGACGGGCGACTTCTCCTCGGGGGACAGGGCCTGGTCGATGGTGGGACAGTCCTCGTTGGCCAGCGCCGCCTTCGCCGCGTCGCCGTTCTGCTTGGAGTCTGCCAGTGACACAGCCCGGGTCAGGGGAGCCGAGACCCCTCCCTGGGGGAGAACCCAGGAGTCCTGCCTCCCAGCCCCCCCGCTCCCCTCCCAGGGCCAGGGAGAGAACCCAGGAGTCCGGGCTCCCAGCCTCCCCTGCTCTAAACACTAGACCCCACTCCCCTCCCAGGGCCAGGAAGAGAAATGGGCCCCCATCCCTCAGGATTGTTACCCGGGTAACGCAGGGTGGGTTGGTTACCTGGGTTACGGGGGGTAACCGGGCATCAGGCAGTGGGATGGGTGCCTAGGTGATGGCCGGGGGGGTGTCTGGTGCCCAGGTGGAGGGCTCCCGCCCTTTGCTCTGTGCCCCCCGCCCCGTCTCCTTCAAATGGCCCGTCCAGCCCGGGGGCAGCAGGATCAACCTCCCCCCCCCCGCCTGTCGCTGGGTGAATTCACAGCAGTGAGCAGCCGAAGGGCGGAGGGGGGGGGATGGGCCAGCCTCACATGCCCAGAGCCCCCCCTCCCCCAGTGATGCCCTCCCCCTGAGCACCCCAAAGAAGACTCCACCCCCCACCCCCCCGGAAATTTTCATGTACCTGCTCTGCCTGGGTCCAAGATTGTCCTCCCCTCCCAGAGAATGAACCCAGGCGTCCTGGCTCCCCCCCTCCCCTCCGACTTCAGCCCCATTCCTCTCCCAGAGCCTGGGAATGAACCCAGGAATCCTGGCTCCCAGCCCCGCACCCGGGGCCCAGCGGCAGGGGGGGGTCGCTGTATGTGACCAGCCCATGCGGCACCATCTGCTCTTGTCCCCGCTCCCCCTCAAGTCCTCCGCGGCCCATATGCTCCTGCCCCAGAGCATTGTGGGAACGGGCTGCTGCGGGGGTGAGAGCCGAGCCCCGGCCCCCCAGCACTGACGGCCCCCCCAGCACTGACAACCCCCCATCCCCGCACCCACAACAGACAACACGCGACACATTCCCCGTGCACCCCCATCGCCGTGCACACCCGGCACAACGCACACCCCTGTGCACACCCGGCACAGCGCACACCCGGCACAGCGCACACCCCTGTGCACACCCGGCACAGCGCACACCCCAGCGCAGCACACACCTGACACAGCGCACACCTGGCACAGTGCACACCCGGCACAGCGCACACCCCTGTGCACACCCAGCACAGTGCACATCCAGCACAGCGCACACCCGGCACAGCGCACACCCCTGTGCACACCCAGCACAGTGCACATCCGGCACAGTGCACACCCGGCACAGCGCACACCCCTGTGCACACCCAGCACAGTGCACATCCAGCACAGAGCACACCCGGCACAGTGCACACCCAGCACAGCGCACACCCCTGTGCACACCCAGCACAGCACACACCCCCGTGCACACCCAGCACAGCACACACCCGGCACAGCGCACACCCCTGCGCACACCCGGCACAGCGCACACCCGGTACAGCGTACACCTGGCATAGCGCACACCCGGCACAGCGCACACCCCTGTGCACACCCGGCACAGCGCACACCCTCGTGCACACCCGGCACAGCGCACACCCGGCACAGCGCACTCCCCTGTGCACACCCAGCGCAGCACACACCTGACACAGCGCACACCCGGCACAGCGCACACCCCTGTGCACAGCCGCCTGCTAGCCCAGCCTTTCCCTCCCCAGTCCTGTTGGTGCCCCTCACTCCTGACCCACCCTAGGGGGGGCCCTGGATTCACTCTATGTGGGGGGAGGGGCCGAGCTCCACTGAGGTCTGGGCTGTGGGGAGGGACTGAGGAGGGATCCAAGCTGTCCAAGGGGAGCTGGGGGAAGACGCTGTGCTGTCATGGGCAGTGGGGGTGGGGGGTGACTGGGGAGGGGCTGGTGCCCCCTGGCTGCGATCGGGATGGGCCGGGGGGGGGGCATGACAAAGTGGGAATTGAACCCTACGCGTGCCTCAGTTTCCCCAGCATGCGCAGGGTTCGCTGCGGGTGGAAGGGGCGGCCGGCGCTGGGGCTGTGAGCTGGCTCAGGGCACTGGAGAAGACGAGGGCAGATCCAGTCACCCCGGACGTGGACCCCTCGAAACCAACCTCCCGAAGGAGATAGGGGGCTGAACCGCATCTCCCCAGCTCAGGCAGAAAGGACTGGGGCAGGGATTCCGTGGGGCTGGGGTGCGGTGTGGGGGTGGGATCCAGTGGGGTTGGGATCACCATGGGGCAGTGTGTGGTGTGGCGCTGGGATCCTGTGGGGCTGGGATCACCATGGGGCAGGGTGTGGGGCTGGCATCGCTGTGGGGCAGGGCACAGGGCTGGGATCCTCGCGGGACAGGGTGTGGGGCTGACATCGTTGTGGGGCAGGGCAGGGCTGGGATCCCCACAGGGCAGGGCGCGGGGCTGGGATCCCCATGGGGCAGGGTGCGGGGCAGGGCACGGGGCTGGGGTTCCCGCGGGGCTGGGATCCCCGTGGGGCAGGGCGCGGGGCAGGGCATGGGGCTGGAATCCCCGCGGGGCAGGGCACGGGGCTGGGATCCCCATGGGGCAGGGTGCGGGGCAGGGTATGGAGCTGGGATCCCCGCGGGGCAGGGCACGGGGCTGGGATCCCCATGGGGCAGGGCACGGGGCTGGGGTTCCCGCAGGGCAGGGCATGGGGCTGGGGTTCCCATGGGGCTGGGATCTCCATGTGGCAGGGCATGGGGCAGGGATCCCCGTGGGGCAGGGCATGGGGCTGGGGTTCCCGTGGGGCAGGGCACGGGACTGGGATCCCCACGGGGATCGGCACGGGGCTGGGGTTCCCGCGGGGCAGGGCACGGGGCTGGGATCCCCATGGGGCAGGGCACGGGACAGGGCGCGGGGCTGGGATCCCCGCGGGGCAGGGTGCGGGGAAGGGCACGGGG